CCTTTTTCTCAGCATCCTTCTTTCCAATAATATTAATATTCTCCTCAAAGAGATCTTAAAAAAAACCACCGTGCACGTTCCCTCGGTAAGGTCATTAATTATGAGCCTTAAGTACATGACCGCGCTCGCTCAAACACTAAATTTAAAGGGTAGAGACGAACAAGTAACACACACAACTGCTTTACTTATTTAACAATTTGTCTCGCTAAGAGCTCGTGAAAGAGCCTATTGAAGCACCAATTTGGCCTCTATTGTTGGCTCTGGAAATCACAAGCGCGCGGTGACTTGACAGAAACTCGCTGGCAATCCGCTTCTCCACGCTGATTTGTTGGCATCAGTGAGTTAATTCCTTCCAATACTTCCAAATCAATAAAAAAATTCATTATGAATTTTAATTTCCAAAAAAAGATACACAGAAATTTGCTCATTAGCCGGTGGTCAAAGTGTAATTTCTCACTGCCATTGTTATCCAGCAGCTCAAATTAATGCGAGTCCCTCGCATTGATAAGCATCTCTCATAGCTCACTAAATACATAAACACATGTATTTTATCGCCGCTCAATGAAACGCACACAAAATCTGATAACGCGTTTTGTGTATTACACCATATATATTTCAGTGTTTGGCGTATTATATAAAAAAAAATAATAAATAAATATAAAATCAACGCTATGTGGTTCGTCTCTGGCATTAACTCTTTCGTTTATTAACTCGGGGATTTTTATTAGCATCGCATTATTTTCCTGATGCATAATTCAATATTAAAAACGCGCACATACATCCCATTTTTCTCCTCTCTCTTAATAATTCGATATTGGTGCGGTGCATTATTGTTTTTCCCGGCCGCGGCGTCTGATGGAATGCCAGATATGGAAGTTAAACTACCAGAGCCGCAGGCTGAATTAATTAGAATGAGTAAAAGAGCCTCGTGAGTTTTCTTTGGAGAAGGAAAGAGCGGCGGCGGCGGCGTATTTTGCATATGAAAAGAACTGTCTGCAATCATAACACACACTTGACCGATTCTCGCCTCCCTCACGCTTCTCGCTCGCAAACCGTGCAAAGCGCCACAGAGCAAATCACGGAGACATCTAACGAAAAGTGGCTCAACTTCGCAACGGGGCAAACCCATGACAAGCGCCGGAAAATTCAACTAACGAATTTCCCGAATTATTTTTCGTTTGTTTTATTTAACGATGAATTTATATAGGAAATTTTCTACAGTAATTCCGTCAAACGTTAATTAGGCTTGGGAATTCGAAGGTTTGTCGTCGTAAAATCTCATCGACGGGTCCTGCTTGCTTGCTCATTTGGTTAATTTATTATCAGGGGCCGCTGAAACGAATCCGAAAAATGCGAGGCATGTTTTTGTTTATTAAGGTGGTCCAGAAGGTCGAACACGGCCCGGCTATTTGGTACAACACGCCGTTCACACACATGCTCTCGCCGGACGAGCTGCTTCTTTCTCTCTCTGGCTCATGTCAAAATGTCAAAACGCGTGTTCTTTATATCGGTGTTGTGCCGAGCATGCTGAGGCTGCATTCCGACCAAAATTACCGCCCCGTGGCCGAATTATTTATTACTTGCTCCGAATCGAAATTTGTTCAATCCGTCTGTTGACGCAGCAGGAGAATTTTATTGCACACATTTCGATCATACAATTTTTTTTCATCTTCGGCTCGTCACGATGATGAGGCGCTCCTCATTTTAAAACACACACGTGCATGATTGGCAGAAGTTTTTCTCCAAACGCTTTTATTATATTATTTATTCAATTCTTGACCTTTGATTTTTGAACATAGTGCACCGACACACTCGGGGAGATATAGAATGAGGAAAAGAGAAAATGGTAATTTTGATGGACGCGTTGGTGATGAAATTCTCATTGACGCGCCGAATGAAAAATGATTACTCTCTGTAGGGAGGAAATCAACACCACGTATATAAGAATAATTTCATTTAATTTGAAAATAATCTATTTTTGTATTTTGACGATAATAAAACGACGCAATTTAACATCTGCTCTTCCGTGAGGTAAAAATAGCAACAAATAAGACGTCGTCCACTTTTCGACTCATTTTCCTCATAATTTGTGAAAATCGCCGCAGGCTCGTGCGGTGATATACACAAAAATCAGCTAATAGAATTATGAATGGGCCTCGCGTGCTGAGCGTTCGCCAATGTTTCTCTCTTTCAAAATCCCATACGAATTCATAAAAAGTCGCCGCGCGCATACATAGAGTTATTATTACGATTTATGTGCTCGTGGTCGGCGCATAAATATATAAATATAGGCGAAGGTGCATCACGCCACCTCAGTCACCTGCTAGGAAGGCGAGCGCGTGCCTAAAACACAACAAAGTAGGCGAATTGCGTGCAGGTGATGTCGGCTGGCCCATTATCGAGTCTCCAACACCCGGCCCGAAACCTCAAAAAACCGACAACGAGCTGAGCTGAGTGAGAGGCACCCGAGAATACCAACCACATCAACAACTTCGCCGGCCGCAAATTATCTACCGAAAATTATTATTCCTTAAAAAGAGATTAAGTTTCCTCTTACTACTTCAATTAAAAAAATTTTTTTCATTAACATGGTTTTAAGTCATAAGTCATAAGTTTACATAAATTTAACTATTATTCTCATTAATAATCATATAAAAATTTACTTAAAACTTTAATTTTAATTTTTATTTAAATTTATTTTATTTTTTAAGATTTCCAAATTTACTTAAAACTTAATAATTTTTATTTACATTGTAGAAAATTTATAACTTTTGAAATATTTTAACTTCAAATAATTAGAATTTATTAGATTAATTATAAAAAATAAATATTATTGTTGTGCTTCGTTCATTTTCAATTCAAATGAAACAAGTAAGACTTGCATATTTCTCCTTTATTCCTCCCTTTTTTCTCCTTTATGTCCATTCGCTATTTAATATGTGTGTTCTTTACATTCTCCACTGCATGAGCTTATAATTTTCCAATCAACTAGCTTTCGTTTATTGCTCGACAAAAGTATCGGGCATCTGAAAAGACGCACACGCGGGCCAACCAGTAGTTATATTTCAATAGCATAATAAATTACCTTCACTCTGGGAAGATGAAAACATCTAAATTATAGCCGCGCGCAGCACTTTGGACGGCGGCGCGTTTCGGCTGATAGAATTTGCACGTCATGTGTAAATAAAGGGATGCTCTCGCATCGTTATTATTTCATTTGGAAAAATGATTTAGCGGCGAGTCATAATTCAAAAAGAAGAAGCGTGTATTATATATTTCCACGCCTGTAATTAGAGAGAACGAAATTTTTGATATGCGCGCCGATTACATTAGTACTTTGTCTCAGCTCGTTGGCAAATTTTAAAAGTGACTGGGATTAAAATAAGAAGCAGACCGGCCGGTGCTACCGAACAGAAGCACCACGGCGAAATATCAGAGGCCCCGAAAAAAGACAGGAGCAGCCCTGTTTGTGCTCTCTGATGGAGAGAGAGCGAGAGCTGGGCTGAGGAACGTACGTTATTTTTCTCTCTGCCCAAGACAAGATCTCATCAGATAAAAGTGTCTGTAGTTGATGTCTTTCAAGGTTCTAACCCTTTAGCGTGTGCTCTAAAAAGACGCGACAGCAAAAGTAAACCAACTTATACTTTTTTTATATACTTAAACACGCGCGCAGAGAGAGGTTTATTAATAAAGAGGAAAAAATAAATATATTTAATCCAGCCGCTTTTCGCAGCGGGTTGCATAAAGAAAGATTCTATAAATTCTCTCGCTCGAAATTGATTTGGGTGCGATGGAATTTCTTTTAGCGACCCGCCGGCCCTCCGCAGGTCACGGCATCACTCATCGCAGACGAAAAAAGCACCGAAAAGGTCAATAATTTTTCAATCACCTCTCCTCACGCGGCACATATCCGCTCAAATTTTATTATTGTTGAGTGGTTGTATAATTAATGGATACACGTCCACGCATGTACGCGGCGTCAATGCGGCCCCAGCGATGTGCTAATGGTCGATGCTTTTAAGTTGTTGCTGCTTTGTTGGATGATGTCGGGGTCGCAGGTCACACATGTGCAATGCCTAATAGATTTGTGCCCTCAGCCGCCCCAGAATGGAGAAAAAAAAACAAAGCTAGGTTGCCTATGTGTGTGATGAGTGTGAAGTGCGGCGTCAATCGGGTCCATTAAAGCGTCATAAGGACCCGGTCCCATTTTTCACTCTGCGGCGGCCGCAGACTCCCCGCCGACAAACCAATTTCACTGTTTGAATTGATTTGGCTTAAACATATGCCAATGGAAATTAATTTCAGGCTCGCGCACACACACACTGAACAAACGAACGCTTTGTTAGAAACGAGTTGTGCCAAATTCATGCCACGTTCAGCAAGTCGTAAAAATAAATCGCAATATATAAAAAATTGATTGTAAATTAACATAAGAAATCTATTACTCTCTAATATTACTAGAATTGCATGATAATTGTTTAAACAAATGGCTCTAGATACCAGTTTCGGTCACGGTTTGCCTTTTTCATGTGCAAGAAAAATACATAAATCAGCAAAATTTAAATAATAAAAAAAAAATACATTTTAATTTAAATTTTAAAATCTTATAACTAACAAATTCAAGTATCAACCCATTTTCTTAGTTTTAAGATTTTAATTTTTATTTTAAAAGTATTTTTTTTTTTCAATTTTGCTGATGTTTTTTTATTGTGCTCATGAAATAGGGTTGCCGACCATCGCCGAAACTGGTAGAGCCGTTTTGCTTTGGAATAAAAACAATATTCTTAACGAGGAAAAGCCCAATCTATTTATTTCCATGATCATCTCCTTGAGTGTCAATTTCTTCAAACAAAACTATTACAAGATAATACGGATGATACAATTTGCAAATTTTTTGAGACAATTTTTTGTTTTCATTCTTAAATTACTTCATTTTTTTCAACCCCTGATTTTATATGAAGAACTTTGTTTAATTTTGGTCAATTTTCTTTTGTTCCCAGGTGAATCGGCCGTTGACAATGAAGAAGGAGGGCATCCAGACGCGGAACCGCAAGTTGAGTTCCAAGTCGAAGAAGAAGAAGGGCAACGGCATGGGCGGCCCCGGCGTCATGGGGCCCGGCCTCGGACTGCCGGACATGATGAAGCCCCTGGACAAGTCGGGCTTCCCCGGCTTCGGCGGCGCCGGCAACCACCTGGGGCCCTCCATGTCGCACTACATGTACAACACCAACATGCACGCGGGGTCGATGCACCACGCGGGGTCGTTCGCGCCCCCTCCCCACCACGCGTCCATGCACATGTCCGGCATGGGCGGACTCGGCCTGGCCACGTCGTCGCCGCTGTCCCTGGGCTCCAGCGGACTCGGCCTCGCCTCGTCCAACGGCATGGTCAGCCTTCCCTACTCAGGACACTCGGTCTTTTCATAAAGCCAGCAAACGACGGTGCTGCCACCACACACGGGAACAAGTACAAATAATTCTGCGGCGGACTCGAGCCTCTTTTGCGGAGGCGGTTGGTGGGATTGTGCCGAGTGTCCGGGACTAAGCCAGCCGCCATCTTGTCCTTTCTACTGACACTCAAAAGTTGTACATTTCCAGATTTGAGATTGTTGAATCAAAGTTTGGAACTTTGTGCACCGAAGAAGGACAAGGTGGTTGACACCGTTTTGTTGTGATCCCCTCTCTCATCTCTCAGTTGTAAAATGTGTATAAAATGCTCTTGAAAAATGCGTGTGCAGGTTAAATTCGAGTGCTGTATAATTTATTGCCGGCGTCTTTAAATCACGTGTGAAGTGTAAATAAACGAGACGAGTATTAATGTAGAAAATTTAAAAACCTCTGTATCGCGCGCCAGCACTTTTATCAGAAAGAAAGCTCTGCAAATGAAAGTATTTAACGTGTGTGCGAGATGGACAATGCGTTTTTAAGAAAAAATAAAACCTTATGAAAATCAGCAGGCTACCACTATGTACTCGAAAAAATTCATATGTGTAATAATTATGTATCTAAAAGTAGAGAACGAAGAAAGTAAGAAAGAACGAGCGTTGTAAAAATTGGGAAAATACACAAAAATATGCAAATAATTCATTAAATAAAACTCTAAGGCAAATCGGCTCTCTTACAAAGAAGCCTTGTTCTATTTACGATATTGAAGCGAAACTGAATGTGTAATTAATTGAGCAGAAAAAAAGAGAGAAAATTAACTTATGGATAAGTAAGAGAGATTATGTATCGTGTATTTAAAGAGAGAACGAAGTGAATTCGATTTACTTAGTGATTTTTCCTTTGTCACAACAACAAGAACCATCATCTTCTGCAACCCACACAACACAATTCTTATAAAATGCCTACCTAATTATTAAAATATTATAATTCCTCTCTCTCAATAAGAAGAGTAACAATTCTGCTGCGATCAGTACACCAAATGAATATTTAATTTGTTTGTTATAAATAATTAAGCATCGCCACAATGAATGAGATGGACGTTTTTGTTTCCTACTTATAATCTAAATAATGCATAAAAGATGAGAGCAGATTGTATTTATAAAAGAGAAAAATTAAGAAATCGCATCTCCTCACACTTATGGATATATTCAAATGTTGTGTACAATTAAGACAAACAAAACTGCGTTTATTGTCGCCTCTGGATGATCTTTTGTATTCTGTGTACACAAACTCACACACAACACACACACTCTTAATAACGACGAATTATTATTGTGACAGAGGAGAGAGAAATAATTAAATGATGATGAGTATTAAAAAATCAATGATTGATAAAAAAAAAGACGAGTCTCATTTCTTTTTTATCCACTTTCCATATACAAAAAAAATTTCATTTGAAGTTCATGTTTTCACTTGCTGAATTTAATGATATGAGAAGCACAATGGGCTGGGAATCCAACACCAGTGGTCGGCGGAGAACACGATAGAATCTTGTCCGAGCGGGCGAGAGCGAGAATCCGCTGCGCGCCGAGCAGATCATCTGTTATTCCGTCAGCCCCGACTGACGGCCTATCAATCATAATAAATTCAAAAACACTGAGCCGCCTTCTTTGCTCGTTCTCAATAACTGCACTCGGTACACCAACCCCAACCGAGCCGACGCGACCGGCCTTTTTGAGATCGCGGTGCCGACCAGACGCTGACTGCGGAGATTTTCGGGTCCAACGATGAGGAGGTTCTGTGAGCAGAACTGAATTTTTGAGCTTGGCTTTGAATTTGGGTTAATAATTTTTTTAGTTATTGTGGGAATTTTATGAAGAAAACAAAGTGTCGCCGAATAATTCTTTCATGCATACCATAGGAATATACATTGCTAGCATGAAAAAATTATGAAAAAAACCCCAATATTTTCTGATTTCAATTGAAGAGTCGCAAAGTGCAGGAATACCGTTATATATGTTCTACAGAAATATTTGTTTAAATACTTGATTAATATTGGCATTATAATCTTTTCTTTTGGAGATAAAACAATAATTAAATATAGTTGTGCATATTAAATACATCCATGAGTTGAAAGATGCATAAGAAGAATTTGTTCAACTTTGGGTACACAATTATTATTTGATAATAGATATAGTATGGATATGATAAGATCATAAATGGTCAAGGTTAAAAAAATATACATATATATATTTGATAATGCAAAACCGGGCAATCTCTGTCCAAATACATATCATCCGTTAATATTCAAATATCACAAATTTTTTCAGCTACAAGAGAGAGAAATGATCACATCAAAAATTTACAAAAACAAGGCTGACTAATGCGAATTTTTGTAACTCAGGATTATTTGTAAACTTTTGGAAATTTTGTTGAGTGGTGGTGCCGTTTAGTCCACAGCGATTCCTTTTTTTCAACAATGGGATGTATAAATAGGAAAAGTACAAAATTAAAAATCAAAAAATTCAAGCAGCTTTTGAAACATTGCTTCCAATACTTTAAATCATACGGAATCAGACATGCTTCAATTAATTTCAAATTTCAAATGGACATAAGGAGATGGAACTGATGCAAACTAATATATCATCTGTTTCCTATCACTTATAAGTATTTATATCACACTTGAAACTTTTTGAAATCCATTTTCACGCAGAACTTAATATTCCTTTTTTTTAAAATTAAATTAAATCAACTTTCAGCATTACTGCAGAAGAAACAATTGGTTTAATTGCTCATCATCACGAGTGCACCGGCCAGCAGCAATTAATGCAAAATCACACCCATTGGCAGTCCACCTCAATCCAGTATAGTGCATGTTGGTGTTTCTTGTTACAGAAGAGTGCGCGTGAATTGCGTGCTGCAATATGCTGATGTGTCCGTCCGGCATTTCTGTTGTGAGTGCGTTTGTACAAACAAGGCTGACGTGTATATGTGGAGTACGCACGCATTTATATGCACATGATGTGAAATGAAAAAATCACTCCGCCGTGGTCACTCTCCAGGTGATTCCGCGTGCACCGCCAAAGGTCGTTTACCCTTTAAACACTCACACAACGGTGGCTTGCAGAGAATAAAAAAATAATACACACGCCAAATGAGTTGAATTAGTGCTGCGCTGGTAACGCACTGCGAATAATGCGTATTCAGAAATATAATATACTCGGAGAGCTCATTATAATCCCATTTGAAAATTAATAGAGCCGCTGCAGATTAGAGAAGGAAAATCTTGAAGAGGGCCTCGTATAAAAAATAAAATTAGTGCAGTCCTAAGCAAGCTTCGAATTTTAATCATTAAGAATAATTTATTTATTTAGAAGAAAAATGTGAAATTTAAGAAGAGAGGCGCAAAAATTTCTGTGGAATATTTTTACAGAAATTTTTAAATTGTTAATAAATTAAAAAATTTACATGTACTTCAGATGATGCTCAATATAAAATATGAAAACAATTACTTAATTTTATAATTTACTTGGAGTATTTAAAATTAATTTGGAAAATTTAGAAATTCGGATTTTTAAAAAGATATTTAAAAAATATTTTTATTATTTTCAAAAAGAAATTTAATAACATTTGGTATTTGAAATGCTTTTCTTCATTTTAATTTGATTTTTGGTCATCTTTACGTCTCTCTTTCCTTTCCAAAATGAGGTGGGCCAGAGAGGCAAGACGCATCAAATCATTAGTGCGTCGGTGCATAATTTGGCCATGCACTCAATCTCGTGATGCGTTTTCCACTCTCAACTATATATGTATGTATTTCCTTCTCTCTCTCCTTCCGGGAACAATGGCGTGGCCGAAATTAGCCGCGAATCTAGTTTGAATCTGTCCGAAATTAGCCGCAGGTGATTTTCTTCCTCCTGCACGAAAGAGCATTATTTCGAGCGCAACCCACCGGCCAGTCTTTTCAATTTACTAAGCGCTGGCAATAACATGTCACGGCGAAATGACTGATTGAAGTCTAACATTGTAACAAAAAAAAAGAGCCTCAGCTCTTCTCTCGCCATTATCCATCACGATCAAGAAGAAAACGCTCGTTTAAATATTATAATATACACGTGGTGGTCCCAATTCATTAATTAAATCTTCATCATCTCGTATCGGAGATGTTGAAAAGTGGCCCTTAATAGAATATGAGCGTTGGTGCTCTCTCTTGTGTGCCATTCGATGCCTGTGCGTGTTTGTGCTAAGAGCACTCATTTTTTTTTCTCAAACGGCACCACGCGAGAGAAGCCTCTAAATTGATTTTATTATTATTCAATTACCATTTCCGAGGCGAGCAGACACCACGCACGAAATAAATCATCACGCCGCGCAATTTTGTATTCATTTTTCATCTACAGTGACTATAGCGTCCATGTTGACCATGTTGACTTAAGAAAAAAAATACAAATCTGGGTTTAAAAACGGAACAAAATACTAAATCACGATTGAAATAATTTTTTATTTTTTATTCTTATAAAAAAAATATTTTGACGTTATTGAAATAAATATTGCGCTTCGTTGTTGCAATTAAGAGACACACAAATTATTGCAAAATAAATATTTTAAGTTTATTTTCCCTGCCCAGAGTTCATTTTATAAAATTATTTCAAAATATATTATTATTTTTATCATTCAAAACAATAAAAAATTAGGAAGGATAAAAAATTCAGATAGACTGGATTAAGAGTACTGAAATGTTTTTCTCTCTTTTTTATTTTCAGCTTTCTTTGTAATCATCGCGTTGACCAAAATAAGGATATGCCAGCAAAAAATTTAGATTTTTTTATAAAGTTGAAACCAAAATAAATAATTAATCAAATAAAAAATCAAACTGGGTGATGCCTTATCTGCACCACTTATATAGGGCACTGTAGACAAGACTTTGTCTTGGCCTGACCCTAAAAATTAAAAATAAAATATCCATGAAAAAGACTAATATTCGATTATTAGCATAAATTGGAATAATTGGATCTCAGGAAGGTGATTGCAAAATTATCCTCCAAAATAATGAAATATTTTATCACATTTCACCTCTTCAAATCTCCACATCTCACCTAACATTCAAGTCTCTGCAATTATTTGAACCACTAAATACGTTTTCCATTGTATAAAATTTCACGTTTGCAATTTGAAATTAATGTTTATAATAATAAAAATAATAAACAATCTCTTCCGTTTACCGACAGTGCGCAATAAAAAATGTAGCGCAAGCAATTTCACGATAAATTAGCCGTGGTGAAAAACTTACAGTGAGTGTTGTGCAAATAATCGAAACCGTGCGGTGCACATTGAGTTATAAATGATAATTGCGAGCGAGGCGAAATTTCACGGTCAAGACATTAATAATGTTATGTGAATAGCATCAGCGGCCCGTGCGCGGTTTCGCTCACTTTAAAAACAACAACATGCTCTTGAAAATTAGCAGCGTAAAATTTTGAGTGAGCACTCGCGTTTTTATGAAGGCCCTTATCAAATTTATTAATCGGCAGCCGTACATATAAATATACACGTCGGTTGGTTTTCCGCCTTAAATGCGTTTTCTCGTCTTGATGGGCCGAAATATGTGTTTAAATGCTTTGCCCGCTGCTTACTCGGCCGAGCGGTGCAATTAAAATAATACACATCTCTCGCCGTAATATACGAAAGCAGCCCGCGCGTTTAATGAGTTATTTATTTTTTGCCTCGCGCGCCTATCACACTGGTTCATCAAAACTTTAACGAGAGGTCACAAATGAAGAAAGCATGATGCACATTTTCCTCTTTGTTCTCCGCAGACGTCCATACAATATTTAGGACGTCTGAGCCAAAATTAATTAGACTGCGGAATTATAATTTTTATCTCAATCGGCTCTCGGCTTGGTCCGGATTGCTTTTTGATTTAATCACCGGTAATTGAGGGGTGGGTTAAAATGTTAATGTTAAATTATTTAGCTCGGCGTGGTTGGAGTAATTAATATTTGGAGCAAAAAATAAACAGATTGCTTAATTTTGATTGAGTTACAAATAAGGAACATGAACAGTGGAATTTGAGCAACCTGAAGAATTTAATGATTAAAAATGTCTAGCTCTTTCTTTTTTTTTTAAATCATATTTCTATCCTTAAGGATAAAATACGAAAGAAATTTTATTTCAAATGAAAACAAATATTTTGTCACATTATACATAGTGTAATATAGAAAAAAACCTGACACATATCTACTCAGAATAGCATTTAAAACTAGAATTTAAAGTAGAGTTAAGTAAAATAAAAAAATTTAAAAAAATGCAATTTTATGTGACGCTGGGCATTTATGAATAATATATATTTTTTTAACATTTACCACCCTTTAAAATTCTTTTACCTTAA